CCCAGAACACTGCATTGCATATGACTGAGAAATGGGGATCATATTTGTGCAGTCTGTCCACACAAACATGGGTATTTTCTAAACCACACTTTTTTCCACACTGTTTTACTGTTTGTCCACAAGAAAATGCAATGTCAGGTTGCTGAGACCGATACTTTAAGACGTTAAGATTTTTTTAAACTACTGTGTGTTTTCGCCTCATGACATCAGTTTTCTGCTTCATGATTGGTCAAGATGGCTGGATTCACACCAAACACTAAAGACGCAAATGAAGCAAAATTACACACATTCTTGGCCAAGCATGGCAAACACATTTGCCTTTACTGAATAAATACTTTCATTACTTTATAACTTGTTTACACATTTATATCAGTTTTTTTTGTTTTAATTGTTTTTAAATCTCTTATTTAATTTTAGTTTCTTGTTTCTTTTATTCCAGTTTATGTAAAACACTTTCATTTACCATTGTGTATGAAATGTGCTATATAAATAAACTTGCCTTGCCTATTTCATGTTATTTGTCTGTGGGATTATAATCTGCCTCTGTTCTCACATTTGCATTGAATATTATGTAATTTACTCAAGCAAATATTTAATTTGCATGGTTATTGCAAAGGTTATGTTATTTGGAAAATTAAAAAGTAGTCATAATAAAGATTTACATATTGATAATGAAGTTATAGAAAGAGTAAATGCAATTAGGTTTCTTGGTGTTGTACTGGATCATAAAATTAGTTGGAAACCACAAATAAAAAATGTGATCTCAAAATTAGTAAAAAAAAAAAAAACTGTTGTAGTAGTGTATAAAGAAAGATTTATCCTGCACAATAAATCAATATTATATAACACACTTATGTTGCCATATATGAGTTATTGTGTTAAAATTTGGGGGAATACATATAAATCTAATTTACGATCCGTAAGTACAATGCAGAAAAGGTAATTAGACTGATAGAAGGTGTGGGGTAATTGAAGCAAACAAATCCCTTATTTTTTAAATTAAAAATACTTAAATTCGATGATTTGGTTACATTTAAAACAGCACAATTTATGTTTAAAGCTAGGAATAAAGTACTTCCAAAATGCATAAAAAAGTTTTTTGAAGTATGACAAGGGGAATATAATCTCAGAGAAGAACAAAATTTTAGGAGGCTGAAAACAAGAACAACTTTAAAACAGTTTGTGTATGTCTTTCTGTGGAGTAAAACTATGGAACATAGTATAATGTTATATAAAATTATAAATAATTATAATTATATAATAATTTATATATAAAGTTATATATATATATATATATATATATATATATATATATATATATATATATATATATATATATATATATATATGTGTGTGTGTGTGTGTGTGTGTGTGTGTGTGTGTATATATATATATACAGTTGAAGTCAGAATTATTAGCCCCCCTTTAAATTTTTTTTTTCTTTTTTAAATATTTTCCAAATTATGTTTAACAGTGCAACGAAATTTTCACAGTATGACTGATACTATTTTTTTTTCTGGAGAAAGTCTTATTTGTTTTATTTCGGCTAGAATAAAAGCAGTATAACTTTAAGCAGTTACATTTTTTAACACCATTTTAAGGACAAAATTAATAGCCTCTTTAAGCTTAATTTTTTTTCTTGATAGATTAGAAAACAAGCCATCGTTATACAATAATTTGCCTAATTACCCTAACCTGCCTAGCTACCCTAATTAACCAAGTTAAGCCTTTAAATGTTACTTTAAGCTGTATAGAAGTGTCTTAAAAAAATCTAGTGAAATATTATTTACTGAATATTATTTATATAATTTTGACTTCAATATATATATTGTAAATATATTTTTTTTCTTTTCTATTTGCAGAACTATGTTTTTTTTCCCCTTTGGGTGTATGTTACAAAAAGGCACAAATGGGATCAAACATTTAATCTGTCAAAGATGCCAAAAGGATAAAATATGTCTCATGTAAAAAAGAGATCAGGGTGGGAAAATAATAAGCTTGTGCTTCATCCCACTCCATTTTTGACTATGTTGAAATGTATTTTTTGTTAATGATATTTTATGTATGATATTTCTGTTCGAAAATAAATTAATCAAATAAAAATTCCTAATTTGGCGTGAATGCAACATAAAAGTGTCATTATCGCCTCCTGTTGGTTTGACGTGTCCATGCATCACAGTGTGTTGTTGCATTGTCATCTGGACAAAGATTACTTGAAGAAAAAAATTAAAGCAGGGAAAACCCAGTTTATCTAAATATCCATGTACGTGTGAACATAGTCTGACTAGTTACACTTGTTTAGGATTATTAAATAAGAAAAAAGAAGAAAAAAACATTATGTGAGCCACACTTTTAAGGTACATGTGTTTAATACACATTCTGCCTAATCAGCATCTTGATATATTACATCTGTGAGGTGGATAATTATGTCTGCAAAGCAGAAGGCTCACTAATACAGATATACTGTAGCAAAATATATGAACAACCTGTGTGTACATAGAAAGAGTTTAGATCTTTGAATTCAGCTCATGAAAAATAGAAGCAAAAGCATAAAGATTTACATTTATATTTTTGCCTGATGAATAATTACAGCACTTCTCTGATTTAGATTTTATCACATTTTTCCAAAATGATTTTTTTTTCTGGATTTGGTTGCATTGTGATCATTCGCCAAACAAGAGATTTAGAAGAATGTTTATGATAAACAGTTGGACAAAAAGGAGGTCAACGGAAACTAAAACTGTTTAAATGACATGAGGACGAGAACATAATGACAGATCTTTGAATAAGTGTGAATTATTCATTTCTTTAATCTGTAGAACATAAAAGATAATATTTACAAGACTGAAAGCTGAAAACCTGAAACCATTGACATCCATAGTAGGAAAAACAAATACTATGGAAGTTAATAGTTACAGCAGGTTTGCAACCTCCGTCAAAATAATTTATTTTGTGTTCAACAGAAGAACTAAATTGGTTTGGAACAAGTTAAGGCTGAGTAGACGATGACAGAATCTTGAGTTTTGGATGAATTATAGCTTTAAGTATCCATAGCTGATGTCACTTGAATGAACAAAGACAAAAGTGTTACATTAAAATACCAGCAAACAGTACAAAATTGCACTTCCTGTCATTAAAGAGCCTTTCAAATAAAAATATTTTAAAACTATAATGAAATAGCAAAGAATGAGTATTGTATACTGAAAGTGATCCTGCTGTTAGTTGTTGTTTGTTTGTGTGCAGGCTGGTATTGACTAAATTGCATCTCTCAGTTTTCTTCTGCCTCTGTGTAGGCCTGTTTTTTTTTTTTTTTTTCTTTCGCAAAAGGTCATTGGTGGCACAACAACATACAACATAAATCAGGTCAGCACAACACATGCTGAAAAGGAAACAACTGAGGGTCTGCTAATGCTTTGAATAAATACCACAAAACTAAACTGATGTGCAAGCTAAGACATTCTGTGCAGCTGACCACAAAAAAACACACTTTGATCAGTTTATCAGGGGGAAATAATATGGGTTTAGCATCACATGACAAATGCCTTGCATAAACAACACGTGTGCAAGCATGTGTGTGTGTGTGTGCGCGCGTGTGTGAGCACATGCAACTTGCTTAAATACAAAAATAAGTAAATCACCACACTATTTTCCATGTTTTATTAAGATAAAAAATACTTCCTTTTTTAATTATATTAATAGAACAAGTACTCCACTAAGATTTATATATATATATATATATATATACACCTGTGCAACTGCTCGTTAATGCTAATTTCTAATCAGCCAATCACAGGGCAGCAACTCAATGCATTTAGGCATGTAGACATGGTCAATCTGCTGCAGTTCAAAAGTATTAGAATGGGGAAGGAAGGGGATTTAAGTGACTTTAATGGTGAAATAGTTAGAAACTGCTGATCTGCTGAAATTTTCACCTACAATCATCTGCAGGGTTCACAGAGAATGGTTCGAAAACGACAAAATAACCAGTGAGCGGCAGTTCTTTGGGTGCAAATGCCTTGTTGATGCCAGACTGGTTAGAGCTGATAGAAAGGCAACAGTAACTCATGGTTTGCTGATCATGCCCATCCCTTTATGGCCAGTGTATCCATCTTCTGATGGCTACTTCCAGCAAGGTAATGCACCAGGTCATAAAGCGTGAATCATCTCAGACTGGTTTCTTGAGCATGACAATGAGTTCACTGCACTCAAATGGCCTCCACAGTCACCAGTTCTCAATCCAATAGAGCACCTTTGGGATGTGTGGGAATGGGAGATTCGCATCATGGATGTGCAGCCGACAAATCTGCAGCATCTGCGTGACGCTGTCAAGTCAATATGGACCAAAAGAGGAATATTTCCAGTACCTTGTTAAATCTATGCCACAAAATATTGAGGCAGTTCTGAAGGCAAAAAGGGATCCAACAGCACTTTTAAGGTGTACCTTACTGTGTGTGTGTGTGTGTGTGTGTGTGTGTGTGTGTGTGTGTGTGTGTGTGTGTGTGTGTGTGTGTGTGTGTGTGTGTGTGCGTGTGTGTAATCTCATTAGTGGAATTTTGGATTTTACTCAAACATAAGTAAAACTAGTTGATATGGCTGCTAGATGAAAGAACAGCAATTTATAGAGTCAAACAGGTCATGTTTTTTGTTTAGAAACCACATGCACAAGTTCTAGACCAAACTGTAGAACAAATTGTTAAAAAAAATAATAATAATAATAAAAAACTGAAAAGAAATTAAAAGTCAGGGTGAATTTATAGTTTCATTTTGGTCAAGTTGTTATTTTACTTAAATAGCCATGAATTATATTCTATGACATGTTAACAGTTGATATTGACATTCACGTCTATGTTATAACATGAAGGCTATGTATGTAAATTTTACTTACAAGACAACTAATACAAATTTCACTAATTTTGCAATTCGAGATGCAGATAAAACTGCAGTTTAAGTGTATAATTTATGTCACGCAGTAGTCACTGTGACAGTAACTTCATACTGTAGAAAATATATCATTACAGCCTCAAATTGTGATTGTTTAAACAGAGTTTACATTTAAAAAAAAACTATATACTTCTATATACAGCAGAACACACAATTAAAAATCAATATCTAAATTTGTGAGGCAAGCTGATTTTAAAAGAAATATTAAAACAATTGTTTTGTTAAATCATGTAATCTCTTGACTTTAAATTCACTTCACTGTATTCAGCCTTTTGTCTGTTGTTTGATCTTCTTGCCGGAGGAACAGAGGCAAAACTCACAGCTGTATAATTCACATCTGAATCTCTAATCTGAAAAAATACAATAAAATAAAACATTTTAATATATAATATAATATATTTGAGAGACAAATCACATTTTATACATGTTGTAATATTCATTGGCTTATAACAGTATAATAATAATAACACTTTAATATAAGATTCCATTTCTTTTCTAATTAAAAATTATTATATGCATTAGAAAATATAATTTTTTGGACCTCAGCAAACATGAACCAGTTCTTTAGTTCATCAACATCAACAAAGGTACAGCAACTTACTTGTTGATCATTTCTTATTATTACTGATTGTTAATACTGCATTAACCAGCCATAAATAATTAAAACATATTTCAAAGTTTTACCCGATTTAATATTTAAATAATAATGATAATAATAATAATAATAATAATAATAATAAATGACCTCATATGTAGAATAACTGAGCTTCACACTAAGCAACAAATTGCCTGATTTTAACAATGTTTAGAAACCATTCACAATATTTTTTGCAGATAGACTAAATTGCTAGAGTTTCACAAAACTTCACTGCAAAAATGCTGTAAAATGTACTGTATTACTGACAATTATGGTTGCCAGTAATACTGTAAAAATTACAAGTGCCCTGTAAATTATTAATTACAATTATGCTCTAAAATTACAACACAGTTGTAATTGGTCATTTACAGTGCACTTGAATATTTTACAGTATTACTGTCAAACAAAACTGCCAGTAATACTGTACATTATACAGCAATTCTGTACATATTGTATGTTGATTTGTTTTTGTTTTTTTATTTCATTATTTATTCTATAATTACTTTGTCTGCTTAGGTGATCCAGATTATGAGACCTTCTACAAGCATTTTAATTTGTGTTAGAAGGGTGGGTGATCTTTGATATATGATCCATCCCTTTGTTGCAAGGACTTTACTTTATGTATATATGTTTGTCATAAAAATAGAGACAACACGTTACCTCACATGATGGAGATGCAACCATTTCAAGTCCTTTAATAAAATGTGCAGAATATTTTTGTTAAAATTTGTCAGACATTTGTGATTAATTATTCAAAAGTACTGCTTATTTTGATATTATATTGTGTGTATATAGTTTTTACCTCTGTGCCTTTTTCTCCAGTGTATGCAGCGATCAGCAAGAATTATGATAGTTACCACCACAAACACAACATTGGAGAATATCAAGCAAAGTAACACAGGATGCCATTCTTTTTGGAAAATGTCATCTGAAATGGAGGAAAATGAATCAAAGAATGTTAAAAATAAAAAGAACAGTTCTTTAAAAACAATGTATTACCAGACATCGAATTTCTTTTTATTAATGTGTTGTGGAGATTTTTTAATTCAAAACTGACTTGACCACTTAAGCGAATGTCTAAGTATATAAAAACTAGTGCATTACATAAAATATTAAACCATAGTAAAATAAAATATTAATACTGATTAAAATGCAAATGATTTTTTAAATGAGTTGTAAAGTAGTTTATTAACCAACTAAAAAACAAAAATCAGAAGAAAAATTAGCTCAGAAAATTGCAGTCCTTTTTTGTATACATCTTGTTTGATATTATTATCCAATTAAAGGATTTATTTTATTAAGTGTGGCTTAGGCGTATAAATCATTATCTTGAACTACAGCTATAAAGGCCACATTGTTTACTGAATTATAGCACTTAAAAGAATTACCAGCATTTTTAACAGTGGTTCCATTCCCAGCTGGTATCTTTCCATAAGTCATGTTGACGTCTTCATACTCAGTTCCTTGGAAAAAGCAAAATATATGATGTTATATGGTTAAAATAGCCTATTTCCTCACAAAATAGTAGACTGAATATATTTTACCTTGTAGCATCAGATGTGCTCCAGAGATAAACTCTATTAAATTCAAGAACACCGTGCCGCAGTAGTATATTCCAGTGTCCTGCTTGGTGGCAGCTGTTATGTTGAGGTGAAAAGAGTCTTCACTTGGTAAAATACTGAATCTTCCATCTTTAAATTCATCTTCAAATATGACTTTATTCAGTTGAATGTATGATATTGTGATTGCCCTTGGGATCTGTCCAGTTTTCTGTTTATACCAAACCAATGTGTTGCCCAAACTAATTTTTGTAGAGAAGCATTTGATGATAACATCATCTCCCAGCTTAAATGTTTGTAATGAGACAATTTCAGCACTGTGGTTAGACTGGGCTCCAGCTACAACAAATCAGTGAGATTTCAACAATTAAAATGATGTATGAACAGTAAAGAAGTATGTTTAAACAGTCAAAAGAGAAATAAAAAAGCTATACTTACGTGCCCAACACATCAAAATGAACCAAAAGATCATGTCTAAAGCAATGGATGTGGGAAAATCCTCTTTAGAAGACTTGCATGTGACATGATTGGTCACTTTCAAACCAAGACGGACTAGAATAAGTCTGTTTTGAGCAAAGCTAAAAAACTCTTTGCAACTGACCGCAAAAAACAACATCATTTCTAGCAGGAGGAAATAATGTGGCTTTGTTATCTGATACCAGATCTATTAAACGTGTGTGTGCGTGTGTGTGTGTGTGTGTGTGTGTGTGTGTGTGTGTGTGTGTGTGTGTGTGTTCAAACAAATTTACTTTAATATGTTTCTACATGCCATTACAGTTGAAGTGTTATTGTCCTTTTTGCTAATATCTTATGTGGAATCTAGGATTCTGAAAAGCTACTGACAGTGTATAACAAACATAAGTTACACCACTAAGGGGAACTAAACACAAAGAGGAGACAAACCACTTAAAACTGCAGTCAATCTGGCTGCTAGATGAAAGGAAGTCAAATAAAAGAGCCCAAAAGGTCATGTTTTTTTTGTGTTAGAAACCACATGCACATTTTCTGGACTTGTTAAATGTCATTTTAGCCTGAGTTCAAACCTACTTTTGTACATTACAAGAGACAGAGTTTGTAAAAATGCTTTAAAATATTACCTTGCATTTACCTTGTGTAAATATTTTTTTAATATTTAGTAAAATGTTATGCTTACAATTTTCTGTACATTTTTTGATTATTAAACTTGTATGTAATTTGCAAGTTAATAAGAAATCATGAGCACGTGCACACCTCGGGTCAGCCACCATCATGTACATACACTGAAAGTGGTTTCAAAAATCCCCCTTTTCTTAAGGTCACAAAGAAGCAAAAGATTGTCCTTTTTCCTCTGTCATGACATACATCCACTTGAGGGGTAAAAATGTAGTGGTGGTGCATGATTTCTTCCATTGGAAACTGATTGGATTGCAGAACAGACATAAGCAGGGGAGAAAAAATACACACTGTTAGCCCTTTCTGAAAGATGTTCTATGTGACCAGAAATGAAGAAATGCAATTTTTAGGGGGCAAGGAAAGTTATGATATTTGATAAAACATGTTAAGGGGAAATGAACAAATGCTGTTGCACTAACATTAACCTCTTCTAAGCTTGATAGGAAAATTTGTTAAACACAAAGCGATGTAACACAGGTTTAAGCTTGTGGTTCAATGAATGGTGAAGGTGGGAAAGCGGCTAACCTTTAATAATTTTAATAATAAACATAAATACCCTTAACAGAAACTTAAAGGTAAACTCAAACATTCAGGCCTGAGAAGGGTATAAACGGAGATCAGAGTCAGCTTCAAATTTAGCTTCAAGTGGGATGAACAAACCTCCTGGAGTTTTCATTTATTTAATGTCTCGTTTAAGTTGCACAAGAGTCCAACCGATTGTTTTATGAATGTCTACATCTACACAAACCCTAAACTCACACAAAAAAAAATCCACAAATTAGCAGTTTTCCAACAACTTTTAACCTTGAAAATTTCTAAAAAGTGAATTTTATAAACATTTTTAATAGTTCAAAGGGATATATTGTCTGGGTTAATGTTGTATAACATGGCAAAAAACCTTGTAATTAACTGCCAGTACATTTTCTGCTATTTTTAAAATATTTCTCTATATTTTATGTATTGTACATTATATTATTTCCAAACTACTAAAATGTCAATGAAAGTCACTATGTTAAAGTGTAGAGTTGAATTTTCAAGAACCGGCAGAGCAGAGATCAACATTCATTTATTCATTTTTTTTTCGGCTTAGTCTCTTTATTATTCTGGGGTCGCCACAGCGGAATGAACCGCCAACTTATCCAGCATATGTTTTAAACAGCGGATGCCCCTCCAGCTGCAACCCATTACTGGGAACATCCATACACACTCATTCACACACATACACTACGGTCAATTTTAGCTTACCCAATTCACCTATAGCGCATGTTTTTGGACAGTGGGGAAAACCGGAGCACCCGGAGGAAACCCACATGAACATGGAGAACATGCAAACTCCACATAGAAATGCCAACTGACCCAGCCGAGGCTCGAACCAGCGACCTTCTTGCTGTGAGTTGATCATGCTACCCACAGCTCCATCGCCATGTAATGCAATTCACTACTCTAAATAAATAAAATAACAGTTGTGAATCGCAAAATACAGACGCTATTAATTAAAAGATATTTTGCAACCTCACATCAACCTGTTGTGTTTTATTAATGTCTACTACACCTACAACACCAACCGTAAACCCAAATAACTAACGACGTAAATCCCTCTCCAGGCTGCAGCAAAACCTACTTGCCAGGCCTGGTCCTCTCTCATCATTTTACTCACGTCACTCCTGCTTTTATCTTTCCTTTAAGATTTAACATTTCATCACCTTAGAATTATAAGGTTCTATCTGAGTTCTGAAAGATTTTGAGATATTGAGCTTTAAAGTTTTTGCATTCCATATAGCAAACAATATGTAACAGTTCTCTTTCATACATTAACATGACAGAGACCCTAAGGGTTCTCTAAGTGTAAATGATCAAAGTTATTTTACATTTGCAAATTGGAGTAAAAAAAAACATGGTAAATGCAGATAGAACCTTCTCGTTCTGAAAAGTCATTTTCCGCAATACAATCAAAAATACATAAGTTGATGTGGTAACAATATGTTGATGCTTGAGAAAGTAAAATTTTGGCTTTCTATTACATTTATTTCATGTTTTAGGATGAATATTATTTCTTGACCAAATTAAGCATGCAAGGCTGAGCTAAATATTTTTTCCAGTGCAGCAGTTAATTTTATGTAATTAATATGTTAATATTTATTAGATTTTATGCTTTATATGAATTATTGAATTATATTTATTAAATTATATGCCCCCTGAATTAAATTAAGTGTTTACCCTCCTAGGCTTGATATTAAATTTAAAGACTTTAAAAGAAACAGACGATGACCAAATGAGTTAAATAAACACTGAAAAGTGTTTCACTGACTATATGTTTATTTATTTATTTATTTATTTATAATTTTTAAACAGGAAAGGATTAAAAGATAATCAGGCCTGACTCAGCATGAATGCTGTTTTTAGCAGGTTCCTGCTCTGCAGAACATAAAAACAGACAGACATCTCATCCATCAACACAGTACAAGCAATCACCAAACATATAAAATAAAGAAAAGCAGGCTACTATCTCAGTGGCTACAGCAATAGTTGACCATCAGATGACAAGCATGGGATTTTTTAAAAAGTCTCAGTGTCGGGATTGTTTTGAGATGTTGTGGGATCTCATTCTAGGCTCTTGTGAAAACATAAAAGAAAGATATCTGTCCATAACAGTTTTTAAAAGCCGGTACTGGCAAACATCAATTTGTTACAGATCTGGTGGAACGATCAGTCCTTGTGTTGAGTTTTGGTACCAATGCACAAAAGGCTGCTGAGGTAGAGCTATTTAAAATTTGATAGTACAGTTTGATACCTGTGTTCATAATGTAGTTTTGAAATGTTAAAGCTTTAGAAAGTGATAGAGCAAAACAGAGATGTGTCCATCCAGAAAGTCTGTTGTGGATCTTATAGGCCCTATTGTACAGTCTAGCTATTGGCTCCAAGATATCGTTAATGTTGTTTTCTTGTGTTTACGTAGATGACTAAGGCCACTGTGTAAATACACAGTACACTTATGATCTTATTGCCACATTATATCATTACGATAACATGATATTGTTCCCTTCAATGATTTCCTGAAGATGAATACCAAAAATAACACAACTGGAGTAACTACAGCAGTCGCAATCGTCGATCTCAAATTAAGTAAGAGCTCGCAATGACATATGATGATGTGTGTGTAACGGAGGCCAGCTAGTGAGTGCTGTGCAGGTAAACCTCACTCCTCTGACCTCTAAAGCTACTCTAGCGACAGATGCTAAAGGCCATGGTCTGTAACCTGACTCCCATGCGGAAGGTCGCCGGTTCGATACTAGCTCGGAGTGGGTTAGGACCGGTGGGGTTACATGTGCAGGTAGATTTTGAAGCTCTTCCCCTTCACACTCTGTTTCAAAGGCCAATGGGAAGGTTGTAGGTGTAAAATTTAATTAGATTTGGGCCATATTTTTTACTTGTTCTAAAACTCTACAGAATATATATTTTTTAGAATTTTTCTTTTTAAATGTTGCAAATTACTACAAAAAAGGAATGACTCATCTATATCACATTCAAGCAGAGTTACATGGCTACAAAATAGCAGCTCCTAAAACTTTTTTTTATCCAGTATATGGCAATTAATCACCTTTAAGAGCTTGGTTTGAGAAAGAAGTGAAGAAAGAAGTCATCAAAATGGTTTTATAGTTAACTATTGTTTTACTCCCGAACACTGTTATGCGTAAACTTATGCATGTTGTTTTATTATGCATACTGCCATCCAAATATTTTACAACATATCAACAGTGAGGTCCATACAACAATATGGGTAATGATATAAAAGAATACTATTGATGGAGAATAGCAATCTTTAAAAGCTAATGCAATATTGGTCTACCTTTTACTCATGGTCTTTTTAACATCATTAAAATGTTAATGATGCTGGAAGGATCAAGGCTGCCAAATACTACAGTGAAATAAATCAATTTCTGCATTCAATGTACTATTGTATGATTATTTTATTAATTGTTCATCATTTATATTTGATTTGGATTTGTAATTATTCATTAGACATATTGTATTGCATACATTGTATTACATATTGTCGTCACCATGTCTTTGCTTTGCAGGTGATTGGTTAGTTTAGATTAGATAAGATTTATTTTTTGGTAAGACTAATACGGCACAGTGCTTTTTAAATGTGTGAAGAGGAAAAAAAATGATGACTGTAAAATAATTCAAGTGAAGATGGATCTTTTTAGGAAGAACTCTCTCTGTTCATCTGATACTGTAGATGTTGATGCCACAAATGTGGAGGTTTTGGGAGATTCAAATAAAAGCGTGTAAGATAATGTGATGTTTTGCAAAACAGAATGAAGAAATAAAAAGTGTGGATCAATTTTGAGTTTTATTTTAGTCAAGTTGGTATTTTACTCAAATAGCCATAAATTTTATTCTGTAACATTATCAGTTGTTATTAACATTCAGCTATGAAATAATTAGAGTTTCTTTATTATAAATATTTAACAGGTTCATGAATAAATTTTTTTTTATTTTAAGATCTGTCATTTTCTTATATGTGTGAAAATATTTTAATTTTATATTCCCTATTTTCTCTTTATATAAAAAATCTTATATAATCTTGTACAAATAAAAGAAGCTTAATTATACATTGTAAAAAAAAAATCAAGAATTTTATGGTTTCTTTCCGGCAGCTGGGGTCCTTGAAAAAATTAAAATAACGTCTGTTAAATTACAGACTTTTACTATAAATAACAGCGATTGAATTACAAAAAATTACCAGAAGTTGAAATTTAAGGGCATTTCTGTTATTTAATGTCAGTTATTTTACCGTAAACTTCTGTAATTTAACAGCTGTTATTTTACTTTTTTTTTTGGCACCCCAGCTGCTGATAATAAACCGTAAAATTACAGATTTTTTTTACAGGGTAGGAAAGCAGCAGACAGCATTAGAATCCAATACACAAACAGAAATGCCTTGATGTCCGTTTTAAGTTACAAGACAAATAATTCACATTTAGCTAATTTTGGAATTGGCAACCAAATTTATGATACTGATAAATCATTATGAATAATGCAACCTGAAACATTTTTGTCATGAAGCAGTCACAGTTATAAAATATTTTAACCTTATGGCCTCAATAAAGTGTGCTTGTAACTTTAAATCTTTAAACACTAAGTATATTTATACAGTGGAACACACAAAAGTGAAGATCGCATTCTACCTTTGTGAGGCAAGATGAACTCGGTATAATCTCTACATTAAAAAAAGTCAGGTCTGATATTTTTCTCTTTTTTGTAAAAAGTTTATTGTTTTGTTAAATCATGTAATCTCTTGACTTTAAATTCACTTCACTGTATGCAGCCATTTGTCTGTCCTTTGATCTTCTTGCCGGTGAAACAGAGGCAAAACTCACAGCTGTATAATTCACATCTGAATCTCTAATCTGAAAAAAAATAAATAAAATGAGAAATACACGAATATATATATATATATTTTTTTTTTTTTCCTGATTAAGAAACAAATCACATTGTTATTAATGTAGTTGTAATATTCATTGGGTTAGAAGTAGGATTGTGTACTGTAGATTCTAATAACATTTTCCAATAAGGCTCCATGTCAGTAATTTCTAAATATTCATAATTAAAATCATATTTGCATTAGGTAATACAATTTATAACAGAACCGAACAAAAACAAACCAATTCTTTAGTAATATTTAAAAAGATACAACAGATTACGTACAGTTTCTCATTTCTAAATATTGCTAATTGTCGTTAATGCATTAAACAGTGTTAACTAATGGAAGCTTATCACAAATTGTTACCAGATTCCATTTTTATAAGAATAACAATAAATTACCTCACATGATGGAGATGCTACATTTTCAGGTCCTTTAAAATGTGCAGAACATTTGGGATCAATTTTGACAAACATTTGTGATTGCATATTTAACAATTTTGCATATTAAACTGTTTGTGTGTATAGAATTTACCTCTGTGCCTTTTTCTCCGATGTATGCAGCGATCAGCAAGAAGTGTGATAGTTACCAGCACAAAAACAACATTGGAGAATATTAAGCATTCCTTTTGAAATTTGCTATCTGAAATAGAGAAAAAATATACAACAATTTAAAAATAAAGCAACAAGTAAGTCAAAATATAAAGTTCTACTAAATACTTCATTGCCAGAATCAAAATCATTTTATTAGAACTGTGTGTATTGTGCAGAATGCTTTCTATGGCGCAAAATACATGACTATGACTTAAGCTTAAAGATCACGGCATTAGATAAAATATCAAACCAGGTGACTCATTTCTCTATTAAATTCTAATAAATTTAATATATATTTTTTAAAATAAGCAATACAGAGACCCTGGACCATAAAACATTTTGATTTATGCCGCATTGGTATATTTATGGTAAAATACATAGTATAAGTTAAAATTATAGATTATTATTTTATGCCAAAATGATCAGAATATTAAGTAAATTTCATCTTTCATGAGGAAATTTTGTAAACTTTCGACTGTAACTATATCAAAACGTAATTTTGGATTAGCAATATGCATAACTCTCATAATCTAGATATTCAAATAGTTGTATCTTGAACAAATATTATGCTCGCACAAATCATGTCATTGGAAAGCCTTTTATTTTAGCCAATTTGTAAACTTTCAGATGCATATCTCAATTTTCAAAACTTTACCATTATTATCCTTATGACTTTACCCTTATGTTTTTGTGGTCCATGTACTGTACACAGTTCACAAAACAAAAAATACATTTTACAAATACATGTATAATGACAAATCTGCACACACACATTTAAAAAAAAAAAAATTATAATGTATGACTGACACAAAACTGCTGTGAATTTAAAGGAGAATTCATTCATCATCATCATCATCTAAAATGCCACTGGTTGAAAAAAAATCACCAGAAACAAGTGCAGTTTTTGTTTGCAGAAGTCATGCTTGATATTTTATATCTAATAATGCAAGGATATTTATAATGTGTTTTGTTGTGACTTAATGATACAATAACTATCTTGAACCACAGCTCTGGTTCAACATAGTGACAGGTAACAAGTTACCAAAACAGAAAAGTGAAGGACTAATAGTTTAGACAATTATAGAAATTAAAAGAAGAATTACCAGCACCTTTAACGGTGGTTCCATTTGGAATATTCTCACATGCCATGTTGACGTCTTGAGTTCCTTGGAAATAACAAATTAAATGATGTTATATGGTTAAAAAAGTCTATTCCCTCACAAAATAGTAGAATGAATATATTTTACCTTGTAGCATCAGATGTGCTCCAGAGATAAACTGTATTAAATTCAAGAACACCGTCCCGCAGTAGTATATTCCAGTGTCCTGCTTGGTGGCAGCTGTGATGTTGAGGTGAAAAGAGTCTTCACTTGATAAAATACTGAATCTCCCATCTTTAAATTCATCTTCAAATATGACATCACCCTTGTGGTTGTATGATATTGTGATAGCTCTTGGGATCTGTCCGGTGCTCTGTTTATACCAAACCAATGTGTTGCCAACACTTTTTCTGGTCGAGAAGCATTTGATGATAACATCATCTCCCAGCTGAAATGTTTGTAATGAGACAATTTCAGCACTGTGGTTAGACTGGACTCCAGCTACAACAAATCAGTGAGATTTCAACAATTAAAATGATGTATGGAACTCCAATAAATAAATTTTTTTTTTATTTAAACAGTCAAAAGAGAAATAAAAAAGCTACTTACAAGCCAAACACATCAAAATGACCCAAAAGATCATGTCTGAAGCAATGGATGTGTGAAAATCCTCTTTAGAAGACTTGCCTCTGATGTGATAGGTCACTTTCAAACCAAGACAGACTGATCTGTCTGAAACTGTGATTGGTTGAAATCGACCTGATATCTCTCAGCTCACTCCCAAATTGAAGCAAAATGTCATGATCAATGTCTTATTTGCTTTATTGTATATAATAATAGCGGTTAATGCATTGGGTCAATGGGTCAACTTTGCACAATGATCATACTGTTTTTACACTGTACTACAGAAAAAAAGAGTAGTAATTTACAGTAGCTCTACAATCCTACTAAAGTTAATAAAAATAGTTCAAGGAGCCTATTGTCTTCTTGAATGCAAATGGCCAATATATATAACATTATTTTAGCTTGAAATGTGTTTATGTGTAAACAACATTAAATTATTGAAAAAAAGGAATGAGAAACCGCAGTGAAATCAAGTCCAAGATTATTTTTTTACATATTTATTTAAAAAAATAAATTATTATTATCAATATTATTAAATTAGTTTTAACACTCTGACATGAATAACAACAATTAAAATACTACCCAAGTTGTATTTCAAGTTTATATATAGAGTACATTTGAGATATAAATCAAGAATTACAGTATGTGCCACAAATTTGAGTTCTTTTGTTGTTGTTGTTGTTGTTGTTGTTGTTGTTTTGATAAACGTCTGTACTGTACAAAAACAGTTTGTGGTTTACTTGTTATTGTTTTTTTAAAGATGGCTATCAGAGACAACCACTGACCTCATGAGCACCATATTTAGCAATTGTCGACAAAAACAGGTCACGACAGCAAAAACATATATCCTGTGCACATGTGAGTGAAAGTGCAAGTCACATTTACATACAACACTGTCTCTAAAGGGTTTCACGACCACAGTGTTACCTCGTTGGAAAAAGTGAGAATGCAGACGACCACTGCATTTTTAGATGTCTTCTGCATTGCTCGCTTGAGTGGGTGTTTTTGACAACCACAGATTTGACATGGAACAAAACTATATCCTGCTTAAAACTGATAAAAACATAAGACTGTAAAAAAGTGGAATCTGCAGCTATGAATAATATGCATACACTTATTTAACATAAAGCATCTAATCAGCCAATTACTCTGCAGCAACTCAATGCATTTATGCAGATGGTCAAGAAATCTGATGAAGTTTAAACCAACCACCAGAATGAGGAAAGAAGGTGATTTAGATGGGTTTAAATTTGGTGTGGTTGTGTTAGTGTCAGAAAGGCTTGTCGGAGTATTGCAGAGTCTGCTGATCCAATGGAATTTTTCCAGAATGAGAGAATGGACACTTTGCACATGGTGGTTATTATGCATTTAAAGATCAACAGCTTTTTAAATACTCTAAGACATACAAAAACATACATTTAATTAAGCTATACTTGGTATTATATCAAATATGCATCAAATTACAAAAAAAAAAAAAAGTTAATGCTTATTTGAGATGCTTCTAATGCTATGTCCGGGACTGTAAATTTGACATTGTTTTCTCTTCTGACTGCTGATTTCAGTCTCACACATTTTTTTTTTCTGAAAGTCATGAAAACACTAGTTTTCTTTTGTTATTTGTGCAAATTTGAATGCAATAATTAATAATAATAATAATAATAATAATATATGTGGCACTTTTAACTATGCTCTAAGTTTGCCCAACTATAACAACCTCTGCTGCTGAGAAATATGAAAATGGTCTATAGTGATGCCAGAAAAGTGATCCTCATTCTGTTGTGTCCTGTTTGTGTGGGCCCTAATGAGCCAGTATAGTAATTGGGATTCTAAACTCTCAAAAAAGCATTATACCTACCTGATAAAGTGCTAAACTAAGGTTCTGACCTTCTGTCATCATAAATCTCAGAATGCACTTTGAAAAGAATAGAAATGTGACCATGGCCAAATTGGTCTGTCCATCATCATGGCTTTCTAAACACACCCATATATCTACTGAGTATGTCTGTTGTTCTGTCTCTCGCTCTACTCCACCAATGTTTAATGGCCATCTGGTACACTGTGCCATCTAACATACAGGTAGATGCTGTCCAGTACAGGTATTATTTCTCAGTTCAAATTTGCGATGTGCTTTGAGAGTCTAGAAACATGCTATAAAATAACAATTATTTGTCTTCTTATTCCTATTATTAGCAGTAGTCGAAGTGCTGTAATCGTCCTGTAGATATAACTGATAAATCAGTTGTATGTGTTAAATATTAAACTGATTAAAAATTTAAATATTCTCATAAACTTTCCTATTAATTACTATTGTGTGTGTGTGTGTGTGTGTGTGTGAGTGTGTGTGTGTGTGTGTGTGTGTGTGTGTGTGTGTGTGTGTGTGTGTGTGTGTGTGTGTGTGTGTGTGTGTTAAAATGTATTTTAAAATGGTTTAATTTCTTTTATTTAGCTTTAGCTCCCTCTTGTGGATAGATTGTGACGAACAAAAACATTGACTAAAATTCAGCTTTTTGACACTCCTACTGTATACCTGCTCTCTATACTAAAATCTGCTCACCCTTTGCAGTTAATTTACAATCTAAGAAGCAGATATTATATCTGAAAGATTTTAGCGGAATGATTACAATCCCTTTGAAAGAGATGAAAAACCATATACAATAAAAACAAAATTATTACCGCCTAACCACACACATATGTCTTATGAAGCAAAATGTTCAGTATGTGCAAGAAAAGTATCATTATTTAAAATGTTACTTAATATTTACCTTATCCAAAGCATCAGGAAACAGCCCAGAGCGATTTCCGTTACCAGTCCAATGAACAGATTCCTTTCATTGAATGAACTGGTTCACTAAATTAAACAGACCTGACCGAGTCACTCGGACTTAAAAACAAATAAACCTGCGTATATTATCATTTGAAGACACTTTTTGAGAACTAACTCCGAATTTAACCCAACAGTGCTGACCAGAAGAAACCAGACCAAAAAAAAACTGTCAGCTAGTCACGAGCTCATGCGTGAACCGAGTACGTTACTGAAAAGTCAAATGATTAAAAACTTCTTCTTTCTTCTTCTTCTTCTTCCTCTTCTTCTTCATCTTCTTCTTCTTTTTCGTTTTATAGCGGGTGGCAAGGATTAAAACTAAAGGTTTTGGCACTTTTATGGTTGCCGTGGTTTGAAATATTTTTTTTTAAATACAAATCTATTTACATTATTTGTTTATTGTTTTACATCATTATTTAGGGATTCATAATTGTGAGTAATTGCACGATAACTAAACAGGTGAATTATGCTGAGTTTCACCCTGTTGAAAAACAGCATATGGTTAGGTAGGTTTTGAATCATGGCTGCTGGATTGAGCTCTTACTGGTCATAAACTGGTTTAATATGTTTTAATGGTCATCTGATGGTCAGGACCATCCAGGAGCAACTCATGGCATGCAAGAACCAAATTGAGCCAGCTCAAATGAGCAGTCATGGTTTAAAAACCCACCTAACAAGCATATCTTGTTTTTGTATCTCAGAGAAGATTTCAAGATTTTTAAATTCTTGAAATAATGTCTGAAATCAGACACACCAGGCCTGTGAAATCGGGACGACTCCAACCATGTTGAGACACATCATTTCACTTGAGATTAGCACTTTGTGAAACATTAAAATAAACTTTGATGTAACCTATATTACAACACAGTGAGTGGTAACAATAAATATTGTCATTGACACAATAACACACACACAAAAAAAAATGCCCAGCTCTGAATTCATCTGGATTCAGAGGGTCAAGTTTGTCTGAAGCTGCAGAATACAGATAATACTGCTGTTAGTGATCTCAGTTTTTATAACTGGTGATTTAACTTTTTAAGATCTCAATGTATAGGGTATTATTTTGTTTTGCATGTTTTATCTCTCTGAGCAACTATGTCATTTAACTACAGCCTTATTTTGTTTCTTCATAGCAGAGATGTGTTTGTGAGGATGCTTTTGTCTAAAATGCTAATTATGCTGGTAACATAATTAAAATTTTACACTTGTCATATTATTGTTTATATTGATAATCATTGTAGTGTTAATGTTAAGCCTATAGTCACTGTTATTGTTTATTTCATAAATATGTTGTAAATGTCAAGGACACACATATTTCTTAAAAGTTGTGTATATTTGTGTTTTTGTTATAAACTCAAGTAATGTTGTATAATGTGTATGTTAATTTATATTATAAAATCATAATATGTAATATAATGCAAAGCAGAGAATGTGCACCCTTGTAATAAATGAAAGAGTTGCTATTGGAGAATACAGATCACGTTTTGAGTTATGTGAAGTGCGGGACCATTGCATTATGGGTGAAACTGACATGGTGGCAGAGAGAAGCCAACGATACAGAGCCAGAGAGAGAGTTAATTAGTCTGCATGGTCTAAGAGGGCGCAGGGGTAATTTATATTTAATTCTGTTACATTTTGTGTATAGCGTTGTATTATGTGAATTTACATAAATAATGTTGTGTAAAGACTGATGTTACTGGATTCATAGTTGTCGCACATATTCATATGCATATCAGCGAACATTTAAGTGAGAGACTGTAAAAAAGACTCTGAGACATGCATATTTTTTATGTTATATGTTCTAATTCTTGTAGTTTTCACGGTGTCTACTGCAAAGAGAGAGAAAGAGAGAAACAAATAAACAGTAACGACATCAGTATGACGCGTGGCTATCATTTTATTTAGACCAGTGCAGCTACATATGTCATTATGTTCTCAATAAAATACTCCTCAAGAATTCACACTTAGCTGATGATTAATTATAAGCGTGTTTGGCATGCTGTCCCGAGAGAGAGAGCTCTGAACTCATAAGATCCTCGAGCCCGGGGCCCCCTCCCGTTGCAAGGCAAGAAGGGAGTTTGAGCTTAGGTAGATCTCGCAAACTCCCCTGCTTGGAGTAGCTAATGAACAGATAGTGATTGCTCTTCAGAAATAACAGTTTACTAGGATCACATCTATGACGCCGATTTGGATTTAGTCAATTGACTTAAGTTGCATGTTTTTGGACAGTGGGAGGAAACCAGGGCCCTGGGGGAAACCCACGTGAGCA